GACCCCCCAGCGCCACTGTTCCCTCGTCTGCAGAATGACTCCTGGGGGAAGCAGTACTCGCACGCCCTGTTCAAGGCCATGAGCCACATGCTCTGCATCGGCTACGGCCAGCAGGCGCCCGAGGGCATGACTGATGTCTGGCTCACGATGCTGAGCATGATCGTGGGGGCCACCTGCTACGCCATGTTCATCGGCCACGCCACCGCCCTCATCCAGTCGCTGGACTCGTCCCGGCGCCAGTACCAGGAGAAGGTCAGCGGGATGGGGTAGTGAGTGCCTGAGTGCTGGGGGAAGATGCCCTGGCACGAGTGGGTCCAGCTTCAGAACCTGCTCAGCACGGGCTGCCCTGCCCTGCAGATTCCTGCCCTCATCTCTGCCCTTGCCGCTCACCTGGGGGGGTGCGGGAGGAGGGGTCCGGCTGCCCATTTGGATAGAGACGCCCCATTCATGATGTTGGGGTTCACCCCGGAGTAGTGAGGCCCCATCCTGGCCTCTGACCTGGGACCCTCTGCGTCCTGAGAGCACGGGGGGTCCTGTCTTCTGCCCCAGGGGTGGCCTTTGGGACAGGGCCCCGGAGCAGGGTTGCCTGGATCCCAGCTCTGGCAGCAGCTGCTTCTCACCGCTGAGGAGAGGGAAAGCGTTGGCCGGCCGTGCCGCCGGCCTCTGGTACGGTGCAGCTTATTTCAGTGCAGCCCTGTGTGGCTCTGCCTTCTCCCTGCAGTACAAGCAAGTGGAGCAGTACATGTCATTCCACAAGCTGCCTGGGGACACGCGCCAGCGGATCCATGAGTACTACGAGCATCGCTACCAGGGGAAGATGTTTGACGAGGAGAACATCCTGGGGGAGCTCAGTGAGCCGCTCAAAGAGGTACAGGCAGGCACCCAAGTGCTGGTGACTTGGGGGAAGGGGGGCTGGTGCTTGCTGGGGGCTGGCTTGGTGATGTCTCTGCTGACCTGGTCTAGTGGGAGGTGTCCCTGCCCGTGGCAGGGAGGTTGGAACTCGATGATCTTTAAGGTCCTTTCCAACCTAAACCATTCTATGATTCTATGACCTGCTCCTCACCCCACAGGAGATCATCAACTTCAACTGCCGCAACCTGGTGGCCAACATGCCCCTGTTTGCCAATGCGGACCCCAACTTTGTGACAGCCATGCTGACCAAGCTGCGCTTTGAGGTCTTCCAGCCCGGGGACTTCATCATCCGCGAGGGCACCGTCGGCAAAAAGATGTACTTCATCCAGCACGGGGTGGTCAGCATCCTCACCAAGGGCAACAAGGAGACAAAGCTGTCTGATGGCTCCTACTTCGGGGGTGAGGCTGGGCTGGGGGAGCTGGAGAGCAGAGGAGAGAGAAAGCTTCCAGGGGGCAGGAGCCGGGGCATCCCTGATGTGTCTGCCTGCTGCACCCTCTGCCCATCGCCTCTTGCCCAGTGCCAAAGGCTTGGCATCCACCTCTGGGGCTCAGGAGTCCACCACCCCTGTTCCTATGGGCTACCTTGTCCAGCAGATTGAATCCAGCAGTCAGAGCGCTGAATTCTGGCTGGCTTGGGCAGAGGGGGCATCCACCCAGCCCACCTGTGGCTGGAGAGGAGGGTGGTTTAGAACAGAGCGTCTGAGCCAGTTTATAGGCTGCAAGCACAGGTTTGGGAGAGAAACGGGCCAGGCAATCACAGCAGCCGTGCCCAGAGGTGTCTCCGTGGCCTGGGGAGGGTGGAAAAGGCTGTGCCTGGCCGAGGGCACGGCCGTGGCTGTCTGGACTCCCGGGTCTGTCTCTCCTGAGTCATCCTCTGTTTCTGTGCAGGGTGTGGGAGTGCTGCCCTGTCCCCGCTCCGGCTGCCGTTACCTGGGTAGGCTGTTGGGAAGGGGATGGATGGTTGCATCGTCCTGACACCCAAACCTGTCTGCCTGCAGAAATCTGCCTGCTGACACGGGGCAGACGGACGGCCAGCGTGCGAGCTGACACCTACTGCCGCCTCTACTCCTTGTCAGTGGATAATTTCAATGAGGTGCTGGAGGAGTATCCCATGATGCGCAGGGCCTTCGAGACGGTGGCCATGGAC